CCCCAAAACCCCAAAACCCCAAAACCCCTATCTCAGAATAAGTATTGGAACAAGGAAATATTTCTAGTCCAATTATGGTGATTTAATTAGAGTCATTGCCTAGAAATTACTGCTTCTCAGCTTCTCCTCATCTTGCTTGGCCATCTCTTCCCATTTACTAATCAGGGTATTTTTCAAGCTGGACCTTAGGCTTGTCTTTTGAAGAATCGGGAACTTTTGCTTAATATATTTTAGTTTAGGAGAGTCTTCAACTTCTTGTTCAGATTTTGGTGATTTCTCTCCTTCTTCAGAATGATAATTTTCTGTTTTGCATAAATCCTTTGAATTAGAGTTCTAAAGAATGAAAGTTATGCAAATACTTTAATATGTTTAGCTCTCTTAGTTAAAATAGGTCTGAAGCATATCTTTGCCTTTTCAACTTCTTTCAACTCCTTTGGAATCGGGAAGATTCCAGAATGCCTTGGAGATCCTTGAAAATCATCAATTCATCGACACTCATGCTTAAACTTCTTCCGTAAGGTAGTGAGAATCGACTTCCTACTCAACTCTATATCATCTTGAACAGAGTCTTCTTTCTTCTCTTCCATAGCTTGTAGTCCAACATTTGTAAAATCAATATGTGTCTCCTGAGACCTCTTCTTCTCCTGCTCATCCATCTCCTTTTTGCGAAGCCTTCAGGCTTCGCAACGTTTGAGATGGCTTTCGCTGCGCTGAGATTTCTCAGGAGCCCACAACCTCTTATACTTCTGGAGTCTTTCCACAGAAGTCAGGTTTTTATGCGAGCTAACAGAACGATTTTTAGAAAATTTAATCTTTTCCCTACTGTGAGAATTCTTTTTGTTAAGAAATTTAGCGTTTAAAGCAGCACCCTTGGGCTCAATTTTGGGAGGAATTAATTTTCGAAGTGGAGATTTCTTAGGCGTTATTTTTGGGGATTTGGAGCTGGGATTTTGGGAATTGGCTTTGAGATTTTTGGGGAGAATGTTAGGAGGAAGCATGGGGGACTTTTTGGGACGAGAATGAGTGTTTTGGATGTTTTGGGTCAGAAATTTAGGTTTAGAATCAAATTTTACACTTGGATGGTTGGGTTTTGGAGATTTTTGAATGCCTCTAAGAATGGAATTACTTGTGGATTTATCTGAAAATTAAATTGTAAAGTTACTTTTTGACAAAGAAGATGAATTCTTTGCTTTAATTTTAGGACTTTCATTATTAAATTTTCTACAATCATGAGTTTTCTCTTCTCCCAATTTTTTGAGAGGATTTATATTTTTAACTCTCTGCATTTTAGATTCTTTCATATTTGTTTTTAATTTGATATCAAGTATCAAATCATCTTCGCTCATGATAGAATCAAAAGTGCCAGGTCTATAAAATGTCATAAATCTGTTGTTATAAATAAAGACTTTAGAAAAAAATTACCCATTTCTAGGATTGCTAAGGTCCCTCTTTTTCCTTCTTTGAGTCTGATTAAAGCTATTTTCCCTTTCAATTCCCTCGTTCCTACGCATAGACAGACTATTATTATGTCCAGTGATTTGTTTCAGCCCTTTCAGATGATGCTTAATCCCACTATTAGAACTTTTCCTATCATTTTTCTTCAAATTTCGCCTAAAAATGATCATAATACTTATACTCCAACTGTGTCATTTTCTGCCTCTCTTGTTCCAAAATTTGTCTAAACGGGACTTTATTATTCTCTTTAATTAATTCGTTCATAAACTTCTTCGCATTAATTTTGATCCTAAGCTTCTTCTGATCCCCATGAATGTACTGCTTAGACTTGTTATTTATTCGCGGATAATTACTCTCTGAATCATCTTCTCGGTCTTGCTCAGAACCGGCCTGTGAGCCTCCGCTTCAGCAATATTCGAGGTATTCTGGTGATAAATTGAGTTATAAGCGTTGACTATTTTATTTCTTGAAGAATTCTCTCAGGCCTTTCATCTTGTCATCACTCCTGGTAGGGATCGAGCTGATTTCACCGACTGCAAAGCAAGCGGTTTCAGTGAGGTTCTTGGGGTTATGAGGGACCTGTGTGTTGATACTGTGTCTTTGGTGAAGGAAATCTGGGTGGTTTTGGGTTACTGAGTTGGGATTTTTGTGATTTATTGAGTTTTTAACTGAGTTAAAGCTACTTTTTATATAGTTTGAGCTTCTTTTGCCCAAAAAATTAACAATATCACTGTCATTATAAGAATTTTTAGATTCCAAATTTCGATTTTTAGTGATAAAAGGGGTCTCAGAATGTTGAATGTTATTACAACTATCCATGTAACGCTTGCTGAGTTTAGGAATGCGCTTGTCTCGACTCTTCCTGTGTGACTTCCTACAAAATATATGAAATTATGTACCTCTTGCTTTTACTCAAGCTCTTTGTAACTTGTTTTAAACTTTTAAAAGATCTTCTAGTATTATTTCTTATACTTCCTAACTACAGATCGGCCTAAAGAATAAATAGAATTTATGTACTAATCGTATGGCTTGAAGCATAAAATCTGCTGCTTATTTCTCTATCAGTAAACCCTGCTTCTTTCAGAAGTTCATTTGAAGGAAGATGGCTGGAATTATTTACAATTTCATTATTTCCTCTGGAAAGTCTCTCTTTCTTCTAGATTAACTGAGAATTGTGGGTGAAGTCATGATGTAACTTACCGATTGATTGGGATCTCTGGGTTGGAACCCTTCTGTTTTGTGGATTTGGGGGTAGTTTGGATGAATTTTTCTCCTTTTGGATTGTGTAATTAAATCCATCTAGATACCGACTTTGAAACACTTGGCTGTATTTGATCTGGGGTAGATAAAATCCACTTAAATTATGAAGATTTTCAGGATTTTCTTTGTCCTCAGGAGATCCAGAAATACTTGATTCAAGCTTTTCTCCTTGTTCTTCTGAATTATCATTGCTTCACTGCTGATTCTTTAGATTGCTCAAGTCCTGATTAAAGGTTTGCTCCATTTTATAAAAATATTTCATAATTAAGGGGTTTTGGGGTTTTGGGGTTTTGGGG